CAGCAGTAGCCTCAGCGCCAACACCCTCAGCAACTCCAGCTCCAGGCGTACCCGCAGGCCCAGCAGCTCCAGTACTCCCAGTACGAGCACCTCCGGGACCCGCGGCACCAGCACCCGCAGCAGTCGAAGAACCTCCAGCTCCAGCAGCACGCCTCCAGCGTCGAGCAAACCACTCTCGCAGCTCCTGTGGAGAGAGTGGCTCCCGCCGAGACGAAGCACCCGGAGAACCTCCAGGCTCAGCACCGCCAGACGCCACACGAGCAGGCCCAGCTCCCTCAGGCTCCGCACCCCCAGGCTCAGCACCTCCAGGCGTAGCACCCCCAGGCTCAGCACCCCCAGGCGTAGCACCCCCAGGCTCAGCACCCCCAGGCTCAGCACCCCCAGTAGCAGCACCCCCAGGCTCAGCACCCCCAGGCTCAGCACCCCCAGTAGTAGCACCCTCAGGCTCAGCACCCCCAGGCGTAGCACCCACACGCTCAGCACCCCCAGAGTCAGCACCCCCAGGCTCAGCACCCTCAGCAGCACCAGAGTCACCAGTAACCTCGACAGGCTCGACTGCGTCTACCTGGGACACACCTGAAGGGGCAGGACCCTGAGGGGGGAGGGGGTCTACCGGGGGGGGACCTGGCACAAGGAAGAGCGGTGGCGGGGGGAGGGACGGAGTGCGGTAGGGGAAGAGGCGGTAGTAGGGGACCGACTCGTCAAACGTGACGTCCTGGGAGGACAGAACACGGCGAGAGGTGGGGTGGTAGAACTGCCACCCTGGCGCGTCAGGGGGGAAGCCAAGGAAGACGCAAGGAGCAGCACGAGGGGACAGCTTGTCCGCAGACAAGTCGCGGACAAACGCCCGAGATCCCCAGACACGGAACGCAGACGCATCGCCAACCTTCCCCGTCCACAGCAAAGCTAGGGAGGTCTCTGGCATGGAGACCCTGGGGTGAAGGTTGATCTGATGCGCCGCGTACCGAACCGCAAACGGCCACAGAAAATGGGGGGCAGCCGCATGCATCATGGACGTACGGGCGACGTCCATGACCATGCCAATGCGGCGCTCAGCAATCCCATTTTGCTGTGGAGAGTCCGGAAGCGTGAATGTCTGGCGGATGCCTCGTGCACGACAGTAGGCTCGCAGAAGGCCAGAGGAGAACTCTCCACCTCTGTCAGAGTGCAGACGCAGAACAGGAAAGTCCGAGCCGAAGCTCTGCCTGAGCTGGAGACGAGCTGCGCGGATCCAGTCGATCAACACCTCAGTGACGTCACCCTTGCTGCGCAAGGGGAAGACCGTGGTGTAATGCGAGTAGTCGTCAACCACCAGCAGGAAGTAGCGCTCGTGACCCTGTCCACGGACGCGGGCCGGGCCCCACACGTCCATGTGAAGCGTCTGCAGCGGGGCCTCTGTCGGAGGAAACTGGGAGGAGTGAGGGGCAGCCCGCTGCCGCCCCTCGACACAAGGGACGCAGGTAGGGCCGGGCCCCGGAGGAAGGGGAGGGAGGGACCGGGGAAGACCAGAGACAAGGACACGGGAGGCCATGCCTCGGAGACGAAGCAGGGAGGGGTGACCAAGGCGGTGGTGCCAGAGGAGAGTCTCGTGCGACAGGAGGCGACACGAACAGGGGGCAGACTCAGGACCAGACCTGGACGCTGCAGCAAACACCTGACCCGACGCAGCTACCTGACCAGACGCAGTGACTGGAGGAGACGCAGTGGTCAGTGTGTACAGGCTCGACCCCGGCCGACGTGTAAACGTGGCCAGGTGTCGGCCTGTCCGAGCGTCCGTGCAGTGGGTCACCCGCTGACTCGCAGGAGTGAACTGGTGAACCCCCGCATCCTGTAGGTCAGCACCACTCACCAAGTTCGTAGAGAACGAGGGGAGGTAAAGACCAGACAGGGTGCCAGAGGGGGCCGCCGGACACGGGAGGACAGTGGAGAAGTGAGCAAGGACAGGACCCCCAGAGGGGTCTGCCAGAGAGACTGCAACTGGCCGGCCAAGCGGCGTGAGTGTGGTGCGGTCTCGAAAGAAGGAGCGAGAAGCCCCCGAGTCAAGGGTGAAGGTGTGGGAGGCCGAAGCCGACGCAGTACCTGAGAGAGCAGACTCACCAGCACCTGAGTGAGCAGACGCACGAGCACCTAGAGCAGCAGCCTCGCTAGCACCTAGAGCAGCAGCCTCACCAGTACCTAGAGCAGCAGTCTCAATGCCCGGGTCGGGCGGAAAACACCGGTAACAGTCACCCTCATCACTAATAGTCACAGCATACATGGCAGCAAGAATAGCATCAAAGTCAAGGTCAAAGACAGCTACACCCGCCCTAGACAGCTCGCCCCAGCGGGGGATCTCAGTGGCCTCAGGGAACTGGTGACACCAAGCGTCCGTCAGGCGGCCAAAGCAGCGCTGGGTGGAGTGCGCACCCCCGCACTGCTCACCCGCGCGGTCGCCGGTGCGTAGGACGTAGGTGCACGGACCAGTACCCCCACCCCGCTGGCGTGCAGCGTACCACTCACGGAGCTGCTGAGGGGGGGGGATGTCACGAGTGCGCTGCTGCCGCTGCTGCTGCTGCTGCTGGCGCTGACCACCACCGGAGCCGACCCTCTGCCCAGCGCCACCCCGACCAGCTCCACCTCCTCCGCCGCCGCCTCCTCCACCGCCGCCACCTCCGCCACCTCCGCTCCCACCGCCACCGCCGCCGCCGCCTCCGCCTCCACTGCCGCCACCGACACCTCCACCCCCGCCACCACTCCCACCACCACCCCCACCCCCTCCACTGCCGCCACCGCTACCTCCGCCACCCCCGCCAGCCCCTCCAGCACCCTTGCCCCCCTTGCCCTTGCCGGTGCGGCGTCTCCCGCTCGGGGCAGACGCAGCGCCGACCGACTCGAGACCAACGAGGTCGGCCGCAGCAGCAGAGGCAACAGAGGGCAAAAGATGGGAGGGGGAACACCCCTCAAAGATGGGGGTGCGAGGGTCACCACGAGAGGCTCCTACAGCTACTATGCTCTTTTCTGCTGCTAGGAGGGCCTTCTCGAGGAGGTCAACGGTGAGAGTGGTGGGGCAAACTGAGAGGAAGTGGTCCCTGACTACGCGAAGGGAGTCAGGGAGACGGGTGACTATGTAGTAGAGGGTGATGTACATGGGGGGGGGGTTCTTGGCACAGAACTCAGCAGGAAGCGCAGCGCGGTAGCAAGTGTCACTAGTGCGGAGGTGCGTAATGAGGTCAGCGACTGTGGGAAAGGCAGCAAGGTCAGGGAAGAGGTACGGTAGCATGAGGCGGCTCAGTGCAGCAGTGGCAGGGGAGGAGTAGCGCGCAACTACAGCGTCGTACAAGGTGTGAGCACTCTTGTACTGGCTAAAGTGCGCACGCTCAGAGGTAGGCAGGTGGCGACGCACAGCAAGACGTGCAGCAGCATCGCGCGTGGCCCACTGTGAGCGAACAGTGGCGTCAGCATCAGCAGCGGGGGCAGGAGAGGCACCAGAAGTGAGGTCAAAGAGGGAGAGGCCGTCTGCCCTATCGCACTGTAAGAAAAGCTGCAGGTCATCTATCCAGACGTCAAAGTCAATGGCCCGACCCTCAGCGTCAAAAGAGAGGACACTAGGGGTAGCCATGACAGCAGTAGACTAGCAGCGCAAACAGTAGGGTGAGGGCAGTGCTGTGAAAGAGGCGCTGCTCTTACCGGACAGGGCGGCTCGGGCGGCTCGGCTGCAGGGCGGCTCGGCGGCTCGGCTGCTGGGCGGCTCGGCGGCTCGGCTGCTTGGCGGCTCGGCGATTCGGCTGCTGGGCGGCTCGGCGGCTCGGCTGCTGGGCGGCTGCTGGGCGGCTCGGCTGCTGGGCGGCTCGGCGGGGCCGCTGAGAGGGCGGCGTCCGGGGCCGCTGGGAGGAGGCGGCGGGGCCGCTGAGAGGAGGCGGCGGGGCCGCGAAGGTAGGTAGCGGGGCCAGCAGGTAGGTGGCGGGGCCAGCAGGTAGGTGGCGGGGCCGCACAGGTAGGTGGCGGGGCCGCGGGTAGGTGGCGGGGCCGCTGGTAGGTGGCGGGGCCGCAGGTAGGTGGCGGGGCCGCACAGGTAGATGGCGGGGCCGCGGGTAGGTGGCGGGGCCGCTGGTAGGTGGCGGGGCCGCAGGTAGGTGGCGGGGCCGCAGGTAGGTGGCGGGGCCGCACAGGTAGGTGGCGGGGCCGCGGGTAGGTGGCGGGGCCAGCAGGTAGGTGCCGGGGCCGCACAGGTAGGCGTCGGGGCCGCAGGTAGGCGCCGGGGCCGGAAAGGGCGGCGTCAGGGCCGCAGGGCGGCGCGAGGGCCGCGGGGTAGGCGACGAGGCCGCAGGGCGGCGGATCGGGGCCGGGTAAGGGCGGCGCGATGGCCGCGGGGTAGGCGACGAGGCCGCCGGGTGGCGGGTCGGGGCCAGGAAGGGCGGCGCGAGGGCCGCAAGGCAGGCGACAGGGCCGCTAGGGCGGCGCGACGGGGCGAGAAAAAAGGGAGGGGGGGGGGAGCGCGACTCGGGCTAGGACTGAGCGCGCTCCGGGCAGAAAAAAATGTCGAATTGGTGGGCCCTAGGAACAGTTCCCACGAGGGAACCTGCTCGATACCATGTGAGAATAGAAACGAGAATGAATGACTAAGGGAAAGTTGGGTACAAATGTAAGCCCTAGAAAACTGTACCACATATGTGCTACCCCACTATAGCCTACAGTAGCTATGTCATATAAATCTGACAAGGATGTGCTGCGGGCCTGCAGAGAGTGGGAGGCTGCCGTGCCTCGAGCAGCTGGAGTGTCTGTGGCTGTTTGAAGGTTCGGAGTTGCCGACCCCCTTGCCCGTTCTTCCCCACCTGCGCTACTTGGCGACTACAGTGGGTGAGGGTCGCAGATTCCCGGAAAACATGGCGGCATCGTTGCCGCAGTTGCGGAGGCTGCAGCTTCAATGGTGTTCAGAGGAGCTGTTGGGGGGCGTACTGGAGATGACCTCGCTGACGTCACTCACGCTTGAATGGCTTTCCCTGACGTCACTACCTCAAGGCATGAGCCGCTTGTGTCGGCTGCGCGAACTTGAGCTGATTCGCTGTACCGCCTTGCGGCACCTCCCTGAGTGTCTCTCCCAGCTGCAGCAGCTCATTCTGCGTGACACCTCCATTCCCTTGCTCCCGGCGAATCTCGTGCGACTGACTGAGGAGGGACCGGAGTCAAGGAGTGAGGAGGGACCGGAGTCAAGGAGTGAGGAGGGACCGGAGTCAAGGAGTGAGGAGGGACCGGAGTCAAGGAGTGAGGAGGGACCGGAGTCAAGGAGTGAGGAGGGACCAAAGTCAAGGAGTGAGGAGGGACCGGAGTCAAGGAGTGAGGAGGGACCGGAGTCAAGGAGTGAGGAGGGACCGGAGTCAAGGAGTGAGGAGGGACCGGAGTCAAGGAGTGAGGAGGGACCGGAGTCAAGGAGTGAGGAGGGACCGAAGTCAAGGAGTGAGGAGGGATGGGAGTCAAGGAGTGAGGAGGGACCGGAGTCAAGGAGTGAGGAGGGACCGGAGTCAAGGAGTGAGGAGGGACCGGAGTCAAGGAGTGAGGAGGGACCGGAGTCAAGGAGTGAGGAGGGATCGGAGTCAAGGAGTGAGGAGGGACCGGAGTCAAGGAGTGAGGAGGGACCGGAGTCAAGGAGTGAGGAGGGACTGGAGTCAAGGAGTGAGGAGGGACCGAAGTCAAGGAGTGAGGAGGGATCGGAGTCAAGGAGTGAGGAGGGACCGGAATCAACTACAAGTGAAGATTGATTTGACTGGCTGCCGTGGGCTCACTTGAACCTGACTGAGGTGGGTGGAGCTGGATGCTGCAGTGCAGTGGACCGTGGCGGTGGTGAGCAGGGCAGTGCAGTGGGCTCGTTCTAGTGCAGTGGAGCGTGGCGGTGGTGAGCAGGGCAGTGCAGTGGGCTCGTTCTGGTGCAGTGGAGCGTGGCGGTGGTGAGCAGGGCAGTGCAGTGGGCTCGTTCTGGTGCAGTGGACCGTGGCGGTGGTGAGCAGGGCAGTGCAGTGGGCTCGTTCTGGTGTGGTACGCCATCATCACCTGTGTGTGTGTGTGGTGTGTGTGGTGTTGGCAGACGGGCATGACCGTGGCGTGGCGGTGGTGGACAGGGCAGTGCAGTGGTGTGTGTGCTACGCCAAGTACCTCGCCTCGCCACGCTGCAGGACTCGGGCCTTACGGTGTACCGTACTTGGCAATGGTGGCTGGGATGAGGCAGGGCCTCAGATTCGTTTTGGGTGACCCTGAGCACTCAGGGTCCTTTGGGGCTGTAACACTGATCATCAGGGTTGTAAATGGAGAAACACTGATTTCTCAGGGTTAGAAAAAAAAAAACCCTGACACATCAGCGTGAGTTTTAAAAAAACACTGGCGGTGAGAATCCACAACAACTATCACAAGTATAATAAGTTAAGAAAAGTTCAAATATGGTTCTAATGAGCTTCTAATCTAACTACAGGCACAGACCACTTGGTGCTCACACCGCACACACAATTCACATCACACACATGTCTTCATCTTCGTCACTACCACCACCCGTTCTGGCCTCCAGCATCTCGGTGGCGGCGTAAAGTGCATCGTCGTCATCATCACCGCAGCTGTTCTCACCGGTGATCGCCATGGCGCGTTCACGTCACCTTCCTGAATCGGTGAGTAGTAACGAGAAACCCTGGGAGAGAGAGAGCCTGCCGAGCAGGCTTCAGGGAGACTGCAGAGATTGATGTTTTGGAAAGAGATGGAGTCTGGAGAGCTGGAATGGCAGAATCACGAGACCCCCTGCGTGGGGTGCCTGAGCGGGCCGCCCCAGCACGCCCTGCCTTGGTGGAAAGAACAAGTCAGACCACTGGCCCACTGGGCCACTAGGCTTGGTTGTTTGTGCACATCAATGGAAAGTAATGACAAGTGTAGGTTATCCAACGTGACAACGGTACATTGCTTCAGCTGGGACAGCCAATCTCTTTACGCCGTTTTGCCAACACAGCCCGAAATTAACCCGTTCAACTGTATCTGGGCGCGCCGCAGGGTGGCGTCGGTGCAGGGTGGGTTCATGCATGATGACGGCGCGCAAAACTACGAGAATCACGGAGTTTTCGGTTTCAGGGTCGTCTTTGATACAACACTGACTCGTCAGTGTCGACAAACTAGAAACACTGGAAAATCAGGATTAGGAAAAGAAAAACACTGATTCATCAGGGTTGTAAAAACAAAAAGGCTGATTCATCAGGGTTACAATAAAAAACCGGGGTCAAACATCAGGAAATCAGGGTAAAATTCCTGGAATCTGAGGCCCTGGGATGAGGTAGAGGTGGATGAAGTTTGGAAGGTACGGTGTAGTCTGAAGGAGTCTAGGGATCAGGGTCCTCGCTAGGATTTGAACCCCCCTGATGCGTCAGACGGGCCCTTCGGGCCCGTCTGACGCATCAGATATTTTGCCTTTGCGTGTCTGATACATCAGAAATTTCAAAAGAAATTGTCTGACCAATTAAAATAGAGTTTCTAGCAGGTAGATGCACGTGGGATAACAAGTTGAGTCTGACTTTTCTGGACCTGTCACATTCATTCGAAGTACACACTGGTGTGATTCGGACTTCACTGGTCTCAGCAAAATCGCCCTAACACGAGAGATTTGCTCCAAACCCTTGTTTGGGGATTCGTTGTTGCACACGTGGCCACCATTTGCTCGAGTGGTTCTCAAATTCAGTGATAATTGCTCGAGTGGCCTCGCCATGGGATTCTCAACGTCTTTTTTTAAGAATGAACATTACCCTTCAGGGGTATCTATCCTCGAAACTTCTGTATTGGTTATTGCGCGATCTTTTATATCCGAAATTTATGTTCGTGACCCTATATGACCGCGCCTGATTGGACGCTCATATAATTGACCAATCCTGCGCGGCCATTAATGGTCGCGCGCATCATATTTTAATGCCCGATCATATATTTCCGCAGTTATAAACTGCAATGCCCTTAATGACCGTGCATGATTAGTCAATTATATGCGCGGTGCCTTTTTTTGAATTGCGCGTCCAATCAGGCGCGGTCATATAGAGTCACGAACATAGATTTTGGATACTGAAGATCGCGCAGTAACCAGTACAGAACAGGCCCCACGTTATCAGGGCAAAACATCCTGATTACCCTGAATTCAGGATGCAGTTTTGAATTTACCCTGTCATTTCAGAATAGTGTAAATTTTTACCCTGAGGTCTCAGGATGTTGTTATATGAAATGCCCTGAACATTCAGAATGGCTGTAGTGTTCTTCCCTGTAGCGTCAGGATGAATGCAGAGGCCTGCCCTGACGCGTTTTTTGTTGGGGGGGGGGGAGTCCCGTCCCGTACCTGGGGAAATTTTCCCCGGGGATTTTTGTCTCCGTACGCAAAACGACGTCAAAATACTTATTCATCCACCCAACCATCCAGAAGTGGCCTAGTCAGTAGAAAGATACTTTCGATAGATAAGGTCCTGGGATCGAACCCACCCCGTTCTTAACTTTAACTCTGACAACCAACCAATCTGAACCCTGAACACAGGGTTTTTTGCCCTGACAGGTCAGGATTGATTTCTGAAAAAGCCCTGAACATACAGGAAGGCTTCGAAAATTTGCCCTGACAAATCAGGGCATTTTTTACGATTCCGGAAAGGTGCCCTGAGGCCTCAGGGTGCCCCAAATCCTAGCACGGGCCCTGGTACAGAAGTTTCGGGGATAGAAACCCGTGTAGGGTAATGTGACGGGTTAAAAAAAGCCAGTGGGAATCCCCTGGCAAGGCCACTCGAGCAATTATCACTGAATTTGAGAACCACGCGAGCAAATGGTAGCCACGTCGGCAACGCTGAATCTCCAAACAAGGGTTTGGAGCAATTCTCTCCCCCAGGGCCTGTGCTAGGATTTTAGGCACCCTGAGCCCTCAGGGCAACTTTTAAAATTTCTCAAGAATGCCCTGATTTTCCAGGGCATTTTTTTATGGCCATCCTGAACTTTCAGGCCACCAACAGGAGTTCATCCTGATCTCTCAGGGCAAAAAAATCGTAAGACATGAGAGAGGTGGAGGGAAAGGTACGATATGGCTGGGAAGCCCGGTACATGCATGGTACAATACGACGAGAAGTAGCGAAATCTTTGGGAGGAGACAAAACCAGTACACACACCCCCCGACCCTTCCCCCCTCTCCCCCATCCTCCCTCCACACCCCTTCCCCTTCTGCATATGCATCAGGGCAGTCCTATACCTTCGTCCTGATGCTACAGGGCAAAATCTCACGGCCTTCCTGAAATTTCAGGGCTCAACACAGAAAATATCCTGAAGTGACAGGGTAAAATATACCATCATCCTGAAATTGCAAGGAAAACACCTGACACTATCCTGAAATCAGTGTAATCAGGATGTTTTGCCCTGATATCGTGGGGCCTGCTCTCCCCTAACACGGCAGATTCGCCCTGTCAAAGAACAAAATATTCGCCCAATCAGAGCAAATTCGGTCTGACACGGCAGATTCGCGACGTCAGAGCGCAACATGTTCGTCCAATCATAGAAATCTCGTCCTGACACAAGAGATTCGACCTCAGCAGATTCGCTTTGACAACAGATTCGCCCTGTCAGAGCATGTTCTGCGGGAAATCCCCGTACTCTAACATGTTTCGATTTCAGACGAAACATATATTATACTTCTGATGAATCAGATGAAGACAAAAAGTCATTTCTACTCAATCAGATGGAAAAATAAATCATTCCTTGAAAATCAGATTAAAGCCAGCAGCTAAAATAGTGACCCCCCCCCTTCTAGTGGGTCCACTTGAAATCTCAAACTAACTTTTTAATGCTTTTGACGGTTGAAGCGTTGTTCTGTTTTGTTTTTCAGACACGTTCAAGTCTTCACAGTGATTCTCACAAAAAATGTCGCAAGCATGTGCAAATGCGACGTGCGATTCCCGATTACACGAGGGGGCCAATTTCAACAGGTTTTGCATGTGCAATTCACGCACAACAAACGCCTCAGACATGGACCTGCTGGAGCGGCACAAACAGCGTAGGAAAAGCAGAAATGCATAAAAAACAGAGAGTTTTATGGTAGGAATAAAAAAAGGAAGAACGAGAAGGAAACGACGACGCACGTAGAGAGCTGATTGAGCGAAAATTGTGGAATGGTAGGGTGTGGGGAGATGGGAGGGGAGAAAGGAAGGGTGACTTGCAGGCATTTCGGGGCGAGCGCGAAGGTGCCGAGATGGGTGATGGGAGGGGAGAAACGAAGGGCGACGGGCAGGCATTTCGGGGCGAGCGCCAGGGCGCCGAGGTGGGTGACGGGAGGGGAGAGAGGAAGGGCGATGACTGTTTCGAGGGAGAGAGGATAGGCGACGGGAGAGGGAAAGGGCGACGGGAGAGAGGATAGGCGACGGGAGAGATAAAGGGCGACGGGAGAGAGGATAGGCGACGGGAGAAAGGAAGGGCGACGGGAGAGAGGATCGGCGACGAGAGAGATAAAGGGCGACGGGAGGGAGGGCAACGGGAAAGAGAAAGGGCGACGTGACAGAGAAAGGGCGACGGGAGAGAGAAAGGGCGACGGGGGAGAGAAAGGGCGACGGGGGAGAGGATAGGCGAGGGGAGATAGGAAGGGCGGAGGGAGGGGCGACGGGATGGGCGACGGGAAGGGCGACGGGATCGACGACGGGATGGGCGACGGGATGGGCGACGAGATGGGCGATGGTATGGGCGACGGGATGGACGATGGGATGGGCGATGAGAAGGCAGCGGGACGAGCCACGGAAGGGCGGCGACAATCGCGTGGGTAAGGGAGGCGAGAGGAGATCGCGTGGGCGACGGGACGGAAAAACGCGGGCGCAAAGGGACAGACTGAAAAGCTTACACTCATAGCTTTCGGATACAACACGACGGACATTCTGATTAATACATGTGTAGATAACGAGGGCCTAAGTTGAGACATAGCCTATGCCTAGCCTAGCTACTTAGAACTTCCGACGCAAAATTGGTAGTAGTTCACCC